TTCGGATGTTATGGCTGCCGAAAGGGAAGCTGGTCCCTTCAGTACAGGTGTGGGAAAACATGAGGGTTGAGGGGCTATGCTCAGACAGACAGACAGAGAGAACCTGCTGATGGCTAGCAGGAAGAGAGGAGTCACAAAGATTTGAAGCCCCGAGGCTCTAGCAACAGTAGAGCCATGTTCTGAAGTAGGAAACCAAGAAAAGCAGGCCCGGAAAGGGTGAGGGTCCTGCTGGGGAAGAGAGATGGGTGTGGAGCCTGGGAAAGAGGTCTGAGCTGTCATGTCACTTTAGGCTGTGGATCTGAGGCAGGTGCAAGCCTGATGCTGGTGTCACTTCAGTGAGAGCAGGGGAGAGTAGCGCAAGCAAGCTGGGCAAGGCTAGGTGCGGGGGCGAGGTAGATTTATTCCAGTTAGAATGGGGAAAACAGCTTCTAGCAATAGAGGACAGACAGCAGTAGCTGGAATCAGATGGAAATGCCACCCTTCCAACTCAGCATGGAAAAATAAGAGGTATGCTCTGGGACAACATGGTGGACACAGACACTGTGGAGAGCCAGCTTCTCTTTTTGCATTTTCTACCCTTTAGCCTGTGACTCCCATCTTCATTATCAACTCAGAGTTTGTGATGGCTGCTGGAGCTCCAACCATCCTCTCACCTTTGAGAAAGGAAGGACAGAGAAACAGCAAAGGCTCCTGGCGCTTTCAGCCTCCCTCAGTTTGCATTCCACTTAGACTTTCCATGTCTCCTTGGCCACCAGTCGCTGTAGAAAAGGGGGTTGCCTTGGGCAGATTTTCTGATTCTGACTTCTGTTTCTGCAAAAATAGGGGTTCATCCATGTCAGCACCATCTGTATTAGCTCCACATTGCTGCACCATTTGCCGCTAACTGTCTGTGTTAGCCCCACATTCTGGAGCCATTTGTTGCTGACTGATGTCTTGGGGGCTGCGATCGGAACCAGCGGAACAACCCCAGGTCCAATCCTGAGTAGGGGAGTATGGATGAATTGAATGCTATTCAATAACATTAAAGAAACGACAGAGACATCTGCTAATAACAGGAGGGCACTCAGTTAATACTGAAGGTGCCCAGTTTATTGATCCAGTGTCTTAAGTAACCATCCAGAGATGGGGGCAATAGCAGAAGACATCTATTATTATCTATAAAGGGCTGATAGCAATTATTTCCCTTAATCCTGAAGATTCTCCTTTGCATCACGTACTCAAGCCTTCAGGCACCTCCACCCCGTCATGTCTCACTAGCCTTCAGGGTGGGTGTAGACTCACCCTTGGCCCAAGTCTATTGTTATTTAGATAGGAGCTGTTCTCCAGGACATCCAGCAGCTATTAGCTGACATCTAAAAGACAATAGAAATTCTGGGCTCTCCTGAACTCGTGGTAGGGTGGAATAGACTTCCAAAATATACAGGCGGACACATCCACTCACAGTTCATGACTCACATGTGTTCACTTATCCATGAACCATATCAAGCAAACATGCATAAAAGTAGTATGCCCGGACTGCACACACAGCTTAGTGCACCAAGGCATGGCAACCAGGCATGGCAGCCAGAGTGGCCAGGCTAGGAAGGAAATAACCCCTATCCCCACCTGCCACTCAGCCCAGGTGCTGTGAGAAGCAGGATGCAAAACCCCTGTCTGCTTCATCACGCTCATTGCACCAGGAGTGGCAGTGATCCAGTGTGGGTTTGGAGACCACAGCCTGCATGGTGGAATCCTAGAGACGGTAGTGCTGCTGTGGCCAGGCAGACTGGCGCCCTCCACACCTGTGTGGCAGGGTGGTGGCCAGCTGTGAGGTCCTCCTGGCCGGTCTCTGCAGACCCTGCAGACTGGCTGGCGGGGACAGCTGGTGCAGGAAACCATCAAACAATGGGTGGCTGCAGCCGGGAGCTGGAGGCACACCCACAGAGACTTCCCCTGAATGTTTTGGACCACTTAGTGTGGCTGACCTCAGCACTGATTTATGAAGTACCTTAAAAATAGTTTTTACCTAGAGGTAGCGTATGGCCTGATTCTTGAGGGCACAATGACCATTGTCCTGGTTGTTGACTTCAGCTACGGTTGAGATCAGTGTTATATTCATCCAGAACTCTTAACAAGGCCTGGCTTCTGAGTGCGGCTTCCCCAGAGCTCAGGGAAACTGTCTCCTCTTTCCTTATGAGGCAGTGAATGAAATCATCCCCTCAGCAAAGTCCCTTCCAGAGCACAAGCCTGGGGTACTGCTGTGCACATACCCAGTTTTCTGAAGCTGATGTCACTCAGCTGGGCAGCTGGGGATGGCTCCATGCCTGCTTTGCAGCCTGTCACAAGAGGAACCACTTTCCTTACTTGCCTATGGAAGGGCACCACAGCCTTTGTTATGTTTTTATTTAAAAAGAGGAAAAGAGAAAGCTGCAAGATGAGACATGTTAACTAGTTTATTACATGACCCGGCAGAATAGGGAGACTAAGAGAGAAAAAGAGGAACAGGGGTAATGGCTGACCGCCATGGCCGGTCACCATAGAGAGGCAGAGAGAGCACGTAGGTGAGAGAGAGCCAAGAAGAAACAGAGAGAGAGAGAGTAGAGAGGAAGCAGAGAGAGAGAGTGAAGCAGGAAAGTTGGAGCTTTTAAAGGGAAGACTGCGTATGCCCACTGAGGTTCCACGCATGCCCAGAGTCCTCATGCGTGGCCAGTGATGTGGTGATGACGTAGCACGTTTTCTTGTGCGTGCCCTGACTGTTGTCAGGGGGCAAGATCTGTCTCTTAAAGAGGTAGTGCCGGTCAGCGTCAAAGCCTGAACCTTTCAGCCTTCAACAGCCAGAGCCTGCACTCACCGTGCAGGCTAGATGGCCAGGTGCCCTCTGCTTCCTCACCATCACTGTGTGACTGGTTGCAGTCTCTCGGGCTGCTGTGCAATACCTGTAGGGTGGGGTGTTCCCTCTCACCGGCCAGAGGGATCCTGTGAGGGCCTGTCACATTCTCCTGCATTCTCCTTTTCCTGCGATCTCTCCCCATCTTTTCTTTTCTTTTCTTTTTTTTTTTTTTTAAGATTTTCCTCAGAACTCACAGCAAAATTTAGTGAGAACATGCAGCCATGAGCTCTAAATGATGCGTGCGGTGTGCCATTCGTCTCCCAGTGCGAGCATCACATACATCTGAGGACTGCAGCTCAGAGCGGGAAAGCCTACGCTTCCTAGGTAAGCAGATGTGGGTTCCACTCTGTTTCTCAGATAGGAGAAAGTATCACAAAGTGCTGTGGTGGGAGTCAAGCAAAATGGTATTTATGAATTCCTGTGATACTGAAGGGACCAGCTCCCCATTTCAACAGCCATAACAGCCAAACATGCACTTGACTGACCTTGTCTTAGTCACTAGAAGGTTAGATGCCTGCCTCATGACAAGGAACCAATCAGAAGTTAGCTGGTGGTGCTATGCTTTATGGCTCTTGGTGTGCTTTATGGACAAGTGCACAGCAATGACGCACAGAGCATAGCAACCACCCTGGGAGGGCCTATGGGCCATAACAACCAGTTGACCAATCAACACAGGGCAAGCCCTCCAAGCCTGGAGCCACACCAATCCTGAGCCTGTGCGTACCCCTAGACACTCCCCTTACGCTGCCCTACAAGATCTCTATGCAGACGCTTCGAGCTGTCTTTCTAACCATCCGCCACGGTGGGTAGATGAAAGACCCGAGCTAACATAGGGTTAGCTCGTTAAACAGCTATAATAAAGCCTCGTGCAGTTTGCATCAAGCTTTTGACTCTGCATGGTGATTGGGGTGACTACGGTCCTGGGCTGAGATCCTGGAGGCCTGAGCTTCCGGGGGTCTTACAAAACATACTCGTACATGGTGCATGCTGTATTTTTGAAACAGGCCATCTAAGATGACACAGTCACCATGGGTGCTGCTTGTCCTGGGAAGCTGCCCTCCCCTCCAGGAAGTCCTTTGCTTATGCTGAAGTCAGTCTTGTGGTAGTGGAGCTGAAGTATGAGTTAGACCATAGCTCAGTCCTGTTGGTGGCCATAGGTCCTTCCCAGTCTGCCCAGTGTCCTGCATAACTGACAGAATGGGTCACACAATAGGAGGGGAGCAAGTCACTTGTGGAGCTTGGGACTAGCAAATGGAGTTCCATGCATAAGGACATAATTGCCCTTTTAACCTGAATATCAGGTCATTGCATTTTGTTTGGGTTCCTATAGCAGCAGCATATTCCCAGCACATCCTTCTCATGTCATTCTCACCACAGTCTTAGGGACAAGTGATGGATGGCTGCTTTCCTTCTTGAAAAATCTCAAGAAAATGATGTTCAAAGCAGCAATTAAAATGAAAAAAAAAATTCTTTGGAAATTTCATACATGTAAGCAAAATATTTGATCTTATCTACTCCCTACTACCTTCTGACAGCTTTGTCTGGGATCCATTGACTCACCTCCCTCAGAACTTCATGCCTTCTTTTAGAAATTATTTTGTCTTTTCCTTAGTGGGATGTGTTAAAAGCCATCCATCAGGATGGCTTAGTAACACACCTGCTTGAGGTGGCAGGAATAGCTGTGGGAAACAAGCTGATGAAAAACCAAAAAGGAAAACGAGGAATGAGCCACACACAGGGGGCTTTGTGAAGCTCTGACATTCTTTGGAACCTACACGGCCACTTGTGTGTACAAGACTGTGCATATGCTCAAGGCTGTGTATGCCTTTGAGACAGACCTGGGGAAATTCTAACCTTTTCCTTCTGGTTGACCTTGAGAGTCTGGAGACCCAACCAGGGAAGGCTAAGGCAAAGTTGTGAACCACTTAAGATTTGAAGACTCCTTTCAAAATGCACGCAGAACTGTAACAGGCAGTTAAAGAAATTGATTTATCAGCTGGGCATTGTTGGCGCATGCCTTTAATCCCAGCACTCGGGAGGCAGAGGCAGGTGGATCTCTGTGAGTTCGAGGCCAGCCTGGTCTACGAGAGTGCCAGGATAGGTTCCAAAGCAATACAGAGAAACTCTGTTTCAAAAAACCAAAACCAAAAAAAAAAAAAGAAAGAAAAAAAAAAAAAAAAAAAAAAAAAGGAAACTGGTTTATAACCATTGGTTACTGCTCATCAAGTTCACCAGACAGCATTCTGTGGTCACTAAAAAAGCAAACAGTAGCACCCTCTTCAACAAATGACACAACAAAGACTTCTTTTTGGTATTATTTAAAAATACATCCAACTTCAGCATGAAGAAACAGCAAATTGTCATTTTGTAGTAAGCAGCCAATGGAAACCATTCTTGAGGATGGTCATAAATATACCTATTAATAAGACAAACCGACTATTTAAAATATGTTCATAAACCTTAGAAGACCACATACACATCTAAGAGGAGAACATGAGGATCTCTCACTAAGTAAAAGATGCCTTATTGGAAAATATTCTATAGAAATTCTTGAGTTGAAAGTGAAATAAAACTGAAATGAAATGTCCACAGGAGAGACTCAGCACCAGCACCGGGGAGTGACAGGCAGATGTCACCTGAGAGTGTGTCATCTAAGGGGCGGAGAAAAAAGAAGAAAGAAAGATGAACTGAGCTCAAGAGCCCCAGGAGATACCACTGAGCATACAAATATGCATAAAGGGAGTCCCTGGAGGAGAGCACAGAAGGGCCAGAAGGAGTAATTGAAATAACAGTTGACCACTTTCCAAGTTTGATGAAAGACATTTGTCCATGTCAAGGAAATGTAATGAGCTGCAAGTGTGATAACTGTGGAAGAGCCCTGCACGAATACCACTGTCAAAAATAGAGACAATTTAAGAGCAGCAAGAGGAAACGGCTGATCCCACACCTCCACAGTCAGGCTAGCAGCTGCTGTCCTATGAGAAGGGGCAGGGGCTGTGATGTGGCATATTCCTATTGTAGAAAGAAAAGAACCCCAGTCAAGCATTTCACATGCAGAAGACTTGCACTTAAAAATGGAGGTGGTCTTAGGCCAAGCAGAAGCTGCAGGGACTCGGCAGAAACAGATTTGCCCTGACATGTCAAGGGAGTCTTTAGGCTGAAATGAAAGACCTGTACGTGGCAGCTCAAATCCTCAGGGAGGTAAAGAATGCCTTGGGTGTTAGGGTGGCCTGGCTGTTGGCATTTGTCACCCTCTGACGACTCCTCTGGTCTAGTGGGTGGGGTCTCTGTCTTCTTGCTTGCACTGCTCTGTGCTCGTCCCTTCTGAGCTCAAAGGACACAAGTTTCTAAATAGCAGAGGCTTGCCCATTGGTCCAGGGGGTGGCAGAGCTGTGTTTCTGAGTGACAACCTCTAGATCAAATCCCTTCTGACCCATTCAGAGGACAGCATAGGGTGGCAAGCTTGCAAGACTCCAGACACGTCCAAATGAGGCACTGCACAGCAGCCTGCTTTTCATTAAGAACGAAGGTGGTTTCTCACAACTTCACATATAAAACATAGAAAAAATATACAGACATGCAACATACAAGACCACAAATCACATACATACACAAACACACATGCACAAATACATGAATATACAAACATACAAACACATACAAATACGAAAGCACAGAAACATACAAGTAAAAAAGCCAATGAGGTATTTTGTGGCTTTTTTTTTTTCTCATTTAAAACACAGCGTAAAGCAGTAACTATAGAAGTAGGTCAACAGGCATTCGAAAATACAGATATGATTTCTATGACAACAAAGACATACCAAAAATAAGATGGAAACAGTGGGGCAGTATTGAAGCAAAGTTCTATGTAGTATTACCCTTAAGTTGGTATTAGTCTAAACTACATTCTTACCTTACAGTGTTGGTCACTGTCACCCCCCCCCCCCCATCTGCTAAGAAAACAGTTGTAAGCAAAACAATTAGGAAACAACAAGAAAGTTAAAATGGTTCATGGGAAAACATCTATTTAATGTAGCAGAAGGCCTAGGGCAAGCTTTTTACATGTGTGGTGGAAATCATGACAACAGAACCAAATCCAGTTTTGTTTTTTTTCCTCCCCACTTCTGGGTAAGCTGGCCAGGAAGCCTGTGTTCTCAACCATAAGGTCAAGCTCGAGGCGGGAAGCCTTGCTCTGGCCTGAGCTGATCCTTTTCCAGGATCCTTTGACTGCTGTTAGGTTTCTGGGAAAGTTCACTGTGTGTCATGACTTTGCACTTGGTCTTGGAGGATTCTTGGAGCCCTCAGTGCAGGCCGCTGATTGTGATTTTGATGTGCTTTAGTCTTTCACGTGGGCTGTCCATAAGCGGTTAAGTCAACTGTGTTGACAAATGTCTTGTAAGGGAAGATGCTTACACTTCAGCTGAACTGGTAAACTAATGGTGCCAGTGGGACTGTGGTACTGTAGATCTGTGATCTAACACAAGAATGGCTGTTTCTAGACAAGCTATACAGGTAGGCATTCAAAACCAGTAGAAAGCGACAGAGAATGAGAGAGCTCCAGCAACTCACAGCAAGGCTAAGAGAAGAGAGGGAAATGGAAAGCAGAAAGCAATAAACGGAGCGGCAGCTGGAAACCCTGACACACCACTAATGAATGACATTAAGCCAGTGTGATTTTAATGAAGTAAATACAAAACAGAATTCAACCGGCAGAGTGGCTTAAAAGTAGTACTTAACTTTGTGCCATCTATAAGAAATTCTCTTCAAACACATTGTAGCCCAAAAGGGAAAATGCTGTGCTACACAAGTATTTATCAAAAGAAAGCAGGAGTGGCTGCATGGCCAAGAGATACAGTGCATTTCAGAGAAAAGAGAGTAACCAGAGTCAGAGAGGGACACTATACATTATGAAAACAAAGTTACCTGAAAAGATGTTTCGAGACAGAGTTTCCCTGTATAGTCCTGACTGTCCTGGAACTCACTTTGTAGATCAGGCTACCCTCGAACTTGGAGATCTGCCTGCCTCTGCCTCCCAAGTGCTGATATTAAAGGTGTGCGCCACCATTGCCCAGTGCTCCCATCTTAACAGTCAATGCGATGAGTAGCCAAAGAGTCAGCCAGTATGTAAAAGAATAAGGTCGTCGATCAACACCAGTGAGTGGATAGTTAGAGACATCTCTACACCTGCAGATCACGTGATTTTCAGGCCCCACATTATGTAGCTAGATAGACCATAACCCATGCTACAAAGAAATCTCAACAAATTTAAAAGAATTTAAAAACGTATGTCCTATTCTCCTATATAACAGAATCAAATTAGAAATCAATTCAGATAAGCAGCAGGAAAGATTCCAAATATGAGAAACTCACAGAAATGTTTGGAAAAAATCTATGGATCAAAGAGGACTCTCAAAGGGATTCAGGCATACATTGAACAGAGTGAAAATGGAGCGTACTGGAATTTGTGGGGCACACCCACTGCAGCACAGCGATAGGAATTCCATACCTTCCCACGCACAGGCCAGAAAAGGGGAGATCAGACACCAGGAACCAAAGCTTCTAGCCCTGGAACTTTGGCAACTTCAGAAAGCAAGCCTTAATCAAGGAAAGGAAGTAAGAGTGGATGCCATGCAACTGAAAATAAAAACAATAAAGATCTATCTATGAAAGAAGGAAGGCAGAGGCAGGCAGATTTCTGTGAGTTTGAGACCAGCCTGGTCTACAGTGTGAGTGCCAAGACAGTGAAGGCTACATGGAGAAACCCTGTCTCAAAAAGCAAGCAAGCAAACAAGCAAACAATAACAACAACAACAACAACAACAACAACAACAACAACAACAAGGAGCTAGATAGAGCTTTGATACCATAAAGTTAACTGAAGTCCTGGTAAGAGAAAATAATGAACGAATACAATTATTACCAATATCTGGAGTGAAGTTGGTACATCACTTTAGGCTTTCAGACCCCAATTTGATCCAAACATCTCTACACATATAAACATGACAAATTCTTCAAAATCAAAACTTCCACAGCTCATTAAACATAAAATAATTTGATTTGCCTTGTAACTCAAAGAAAATTGAACTTGTAATTGAACCACTCTTAAAAGAAACCCTCAAGCCATAATAGTTTCATTGGGTACTTCTTCCAAATGCTTAAAAATGACTCAACATCAATTCTACAAGTCACTTGGCAATGCCTTTTGTGAAGCCAGTTGCAGAAAACCACACTGGCCTGATAGCCAAACTAGACATGGTATAAAATATTTGCAAATGAGCTCAGCAGTTTGAAGAAACATTATAAGTGATTTGTTGCAGTTTGAATGTGAAAGTCAAAGGTACATGCATTTGAATACTTGGTCCCCAGCTGGTAGAACTGTTTTGGAAGGCTATAAACCTTTAGGAGGTGGGGTCTTCTGGCAGAAGTGGGTAACTAGTGTTAGTATTTAGGCATCTGTACTGGCCTGCCCTTGGAGTTCTGACAGGGCACACCCTCAGCTGCAGCCACTAAGAGCACCACCTGTGCACATTCACTATCTCTCCCTCTGCCTCTGCCTCTCTGCCTCTCTTTCCTCTCTTTCCTCTCTTCCACTGCTCCTATTCCCAAAGGCCAGTCTCTTCCCTTCCCTTTCCCCTTTTACAATTCCTTTCCCTTAATAAAAAACCCCTCTGTTTGAACTCTGTCACATGGCCTCCTTATCTTTTGTGCCACTTAAAAAAAATTACAACAACTAGGGATGGACTTTGAGTTTTTGTAGTCCGACTCCATTTCCTGTCTGCTCTCAGCATCCTGATATGCCATGTGACACCTTCTAGTGGGATGAGCTATCATGTCCTCCATCTGGGAGCCAAAATTAACCCTTCCTCCCTTAAGCTGCTTCTTGTAGAGCGTATCAGGTATTTGGCTAACACTCTATGCCAGATGTCATACACTCCCTACTCCCCCATGAATGCTAATTCAGTATTCAAAATCAATTGTTACTCTTCTTGGTAACAGACTAAAGTTAAAAATTACATCATTACATCAAGTGAAACAGAAAGAAAACCTTGCCCAATCTATTATCTCTTCATGACCAAACTGTCAGAAAAGCAGACCTAGAAGGGTAACATCCTTAGTTTGGCAGAGAGAGGTGAGAGCAACGGTGAGCCTGGGGCAAGCACGAACAAGTATACTACAGTGACATGTAAATGCTCCTTTCTAAAGGCAAGGACGTATCTTTTTATCACTCCTATTCAACTCCATGCTAGAAGTTCTAGCACAAAGAAACAGCAAACAAACAACAACAAACGATAAGAAAGATACATGGATCTGAAAGGAAAAAAAAAATAAAAAGAACCTAAGTGGTTTGAAAACAAGGTTCCTCCTGGGAATGTGCAGTGAGTTCAGTGATGTAAGAGCCCAATAGTGGAGTCTTTTGGGAATGGCTTCTGCATTGGTTGATTTGCCCATGAAGGCCACATACAGCTCAGATATTTGGTATCCACAGGAATTGGCTAACCCTGGGATGGATAGTCCTCTGGGGTGAGCAAGATTCCAGATGGCCAAGCATCAAAACACAGAACGTAAAAGATATGATTAATATTCTTGGGCTCATGACTCATGATGGTTCTGATGTCTAGAGTGGCTTTTACTGCAGGCTCCCTTGGCTTCTCTTCATCTAGCATGGCTAAGCACAGCAGTGACTTTTTTTAGTGATACCTTCAAAGACAAAAAAACCAGGACATTTTCAGCACAGATACTTTTTGCCTTGAAGTTTCAATTTGCATTGGAATCTGTGGCAGAACCTGTGGATATGGAGGGGTGATAGCACCTTTGTGTCTTCCATGACAGCAGGCTCACACTTGCTTGGTCTATTGCTATTATCACAGGATTTGACAAGAGAACTCACTAATAAAGGGCATGTAAACCAAGCAGCTAAACAATCAACCAAACTCTTTCATTGTTTTTCATTTTATGTTGTACATATGAATATTTTATCTGCAAATATGTATGTATGTGTATGTATGTGCCCAGTGCCTGTGGAGGATAGAAGAGGGCTCAGATCCCCTGCAACTGGAGGTACATAGTTGTGAGCCACTGTGTGGGCGCTGGGATTTGAACCCAGGGCCTCTGGAGGGGCAGCCAGTGCTATTAACTACTGAGTCATCTTATCATCTCTCTTTATTTCTTTTTAAAATTTTACTGTTTATGTATGTGTAGTCTGTGTGCATGTGTGTGCAAGTGCAAATATGTGGATATTTTTGCAGAGGCCAGAGGTCAATGTCTGGCATCTTCCTCTATAACTCTCCACATTGTTTAATTTTTAAACATTTATTTATATTTTTGTGGTATGTGTGCATGTGTGTGCTTTTGTGTGTGTGTGTGTGTGTGTGTGTGTGTGTGTGTGCATGTGCGAGTATGTGTGTAGCTGTGTGTGTGTCTGTGTGTATCTGTGTGTGTGTGTGTGTATCTATGGGTGTTTCTGTGTCTGTGTATATGTGTGTGTGTGTTCGTAAGTATGTGTGTGTCTGTGTATCTCTGGGTGTGTCTGTGTGTATCTCTGTGTGTGTGCACATGAGTACATGTTTCTTTGTCCTAATGAGAGCACGGGCATGTGGAGATTAGAGTACACTTTCAGGATTCAGTTGTTTTCCACTTCCATGGTGGGTTCTAAGGGTTGGACCCAGGCCACAGGCTCCATTGTCAGGTGCCTTTGCTAATCCTTATTTTCCGAGAGTCTGTCACTAGAGACTTACTCACCAGAGCTCACTGATTGGATAGACTGGCTATCTACCAAGTTTCGGGATGCAACTGTTTCACTTCCACAGTGCTGAGGTTACATATGTGGCCCTCACCTTTGGCTCTTAGGTGAATTCTTCAGATCTGAACCCAGTTTCTTCTGCCAGTAGGTACAGCAGGCACGGAGCCATCTCCCAAGCCCCAGTAAACATTCTCTGAGCAAGGAAAATCAGTGCAGGGGGACCATGAGCTTACGTGTGGCTTTCCAAGTTTGCACAGCTGATGAGCAGAGAAAGCGGCAGATGAACTGAGTTTTTTTTTTGACTTTAACTTTGTTTATTTTTAATTTCTGATGTGCCACAGTACTCTTCAAAGCCACAAGTCAAGAGCCAGCTTTGCCTGACATCCCGGCCCCATGCAGAGGTTTGGCGCTGGTGCCCCTGATGTCACTGGTATGAGGTGCCAAGTTCAGAGTCTGAGGGCAGCGAGTCTGGATTATGACTGCTGTCACCTTGCCAGAAGCCTTAGCCCCAGCTGACGACCAGAATTACCTAAGGACTGGTTTGACATTCCACGTTATTGAGTTCATCCTGGAAGCTTATAAGACTATGAACAATATAGACCCAGGATGCCGGATGGCTGTAATGAGACTGCTCTGTGTGATCCTGCTCCTGCTGAATGGGATGTCAGTGAGATTACTGGCTTGCAGAAGGGAACAACGGCAGAAAGGTGACATGCAGTTTTATCCCGTGTTCTCCCTGAGGCTGGGTAGACGATGGTGCTGCTGGTAGTACTGGAATCAAATCAGAGGATTTGGGGGAAGACAAACATAGTAAGATCATTTTGTTTGAGTCATTAATACATCCCTTTGGACACATACATCCAGTGTGGAGTAATCTGCCAGCTCACTGAGTTTTAGGTCTGGTATTTGGGACCATGATCTGTGTGGCTGATACAGGAGTCAGGACTGTGAATGCTGCAGACAAGGACGGTCGTAAGCAGTGCGTATAAACAGCTAGCTCCCTCCCCATTTGTGTGGGTCTCTCTCCATTCAGAGAAGAGCCCATATAATTAGCTCTGTCCTACCAGTTCTCTTGGGGAGAAGCTGCTCTGTGCTGGCCCACTTTCTATAGATGTGGGTGTGACATCCATGGTTGCTACAGGTCATGTTGTTGGTGCTAGGATCTGTGAGATTGAGTCACACTGAAACCAGTGACAATTGTCTACCCAGAGCAATAACTCATATGTCACACACATAGAAAAGTCAACCCATTTAGGAGGTACTCAAAAACTGATCTAAAAAAGATGTACAGTAAGGATAATGAACTGAGATTGTTTCCCAACCTGTAAAAATGCTGGGCAAGTTAATCTCACCCCAATATATTCCGTGTCCTTATCTGCAAGGGTATAAAAGTAAGTGCTTTCTCAGAAAGTTACTCTGAGGGTTACATGAGCACACTTTTGCATACATATATATCTATATTTGCATATATGTATGCTCATGCACATATAAACACATGATGCTTGGAATAACCTCTGACACACACACAACTACTTAATAGCTAATTCCTTTTGGTCAAAGTCATGGGCTGTTTTGTGGCCTGTGATGAACTGAAACCCACATTTGTACTGGATGGTGACTAGAGCCTCCTGCCACTTTATCTTTCTTTGTTTTAGAGTCTCTCCCTACCCTCAGTGGAAAGAGGCTTAGGCTGGGAAAGAAACTACTGGCTAGTGTTTATTCTCTTCTTCTTGTAAAATGATTGCAAAATTACTTGCTTTCCTGTGCTCCCAGCTTCGCTGTAGAACAAAACAAGCTTAGTGGATGATGCTGCATCCATGTAGACTCCCATCAAGACTGTAATAGTCCACACTTAGGGCTGAGTTCTCAGTTAAATATTTCTCTGGGAATTTTCCCCACCTTGCTCTGGGTTGCTGTCTTTTTCTGAGAAGCCAGCATCTAACGTCTTGATGAAGAAAGAGGTAGAAAGGCCCAGACCTCTGTTCTGAAGATGGATGACTACCAGATGGCCACTTGAGACTCTCCCCTTGAAATGTGATTGCCAATCTGCCACTCCCGAGACTCTGTACGCAGATCTCAGAGATTTCTGTGAATCCCATCAGCAAGGCACCGTGATACTTAGTACCAGCAAGGTTCCTGGAAACTCCGTCTAGAGCTGGATGTTAAAGATAGGTCATGCAGATAGGTGATGAAGACCACATCACTAGGCACGTGGCCATCGACAGACTTGGTGTGAAGCCGAGGCCTCGAGGAACCATGGCATGGCGTGTGCTGGAAGGAGGCATGCTGGCAGGTGCAGCAAGCAGTTCAGGCTCCTGGGGCCAGAGATGGTCAGCATGAGGTCTTTGGCATCAGGCGACCGCTGCTGGGGACATCAACGCCTTGGAGAGGAGATAAACAATGAAGTCTGGAGGATGATGGATCACCAATGTGAGGCAGGCAGTGAGAAACCCAGAGGACCTCTGGCATCGAAAAGTGACTTTGATTTAAATGTGTGAGCACCAAGCAGTACTGGAGCTGGGAGGAACCTTGCCTTTTTGCACTGGTCAGTCCACCACATCAAGATTAGGGCTTAGACTGGAAAGCAGTGACATGCCACGTGTAGAATCAGAGTTTCTCAGGTAAATACATCGTGGGATTTCTTGGTTATATGGCAGTAGTTAGGTTTAATATTTAAGACACCTCCACACTGATTTCTAGAGTTTGCCTGCTGTTTTCTTTCCAGCCAGCAATGTGTGAGAGTTGCAGGTGCAGCACAGTCCTTGCCAAGGCTTCTGGCGTTCATCCTCAGGCTTAGCCATCCCAGCTTCTCTGTAGTATCCCACTGTGGACTCGGCTTGCATCTCCCCAGTGATTAACACTTTGAGGTCTGCTTCACAGGTACATTTGCTGTGCTATAACTGTTGGATTTTGGATACAGGAGAGATGGTTCAGCAGTTAAGAGCAGTGGCTGCTCTTCCAGAGGACCTAGGTTCGATTTCCAGCACCCATATGGTGGCTCACAACCCTCTCTAACTACAGTTCCAAGAGATCTGTAGCTCTCTTCTTGTCTCCTTGGACACTGCAAATATGGTACACAGACATACATTCAGGCAAAACACCTCTACACATAAAAATTGGATTTCTACGCTTTATATTGAGTTGCAGGGGTTCTTTAGACACTTGAACTCTTGGTGAGAAGTGGGATTTGAGGGCTGGCTAGATTTTTCAGCAGAGAAGTATGCTTGTAACCCTAACGACCTGAGCCGGATTCCTGGGACCCACCTACAGGTGGAAGGAGAGGACCAACTCTACAAATGTGTTCTCTGACATCCACTTATGCCCTGTGGCATTGTGTCCCCCCAATACAAATATACACAATAATAAAAGAAGACAAAAGAATATGCTTTGAGGCTATTCGTTCTTGGTGGTTCTGGTAGTTTGAAAGAAAATGGCCCCCAAGGGGAGTGACACTATTAGGAGGTGTGGCCTTGTTGAAGTGGGTGTGGCCGTGTTGGAGGAAGTGTGTCACTGTGGGGGTGGGCTTTGAGGTCTCATATGCTCAAGCTTCCCTCAGTGTGACAGTCAGTGGACTTCCTGTCGCCTGCATGATGTAGCATTCTCAGCTCCAGCACCACATCTGCCTGCAAGCTGCCATGCTCCCTATCATCATGACAATGAACTGAACCTCCAAACCTGTAAGTGAGCCCCCTCAATTGAAAGTCTCCATTTATAAGAGTTGCTGTGGTCATGGTGTCTCTTCAGAGCAGTAAAAAATCTAACTAAGACAGTGGCCAGCTAGCCTTAATCTTCACAGTGGATTTTGAAGAGCAAAGGTTTTATTTTGATGACACCCAGCTAACCAATTGTTTTTCTTTTAGGATTGTCTGACAGGGTCTTAGTATATGGCTCAGGTCTGCTGGGAACTCAGGATGCTTCTGTCTTATCCTGCAGTCGCTGATGACCGCCGGGCATCTGTAGGTCTAGAAGCCTCCCCCATTCTCTCTGCAAGCCTTTCCCTGTCTCCTCCCGTGCTTAGTCCTCTCCCCACCCATAACCAGCAGCTCTCCGTGCTTTTCTTCACTGACCCTCTGCTGCTTCTGATGGGAGCTTCCTGCTGGGTTTTCCTTCTGCGGCTCTCAGGATGTCACATTCTTATAGATCTTCTCTGACTTCCCTTAGCACTGTTTAGCTCCCCACTCCCAGCCAGCTCTGAGCACTGGAAATTAACTTTTACAGTATCACACACGCTATTTCAATACTCTTCCACTGGGCTAACTCCAAGCTTCTCTGTGTTTTCTTAATAATGGCTCAGAACTTAGTTCTTTTTTATTTTATTGATTTTTATAAAGCCACAGACTTGGCAACTGCATCTGCATCCGATAGAGCTCGGGTGTGTGTCTTCAGCAAACCCCCCCTCTAAACCAAGATTTACCTATCTATATGCACTGTACTCATGTTTCCACTTGGATGATTTTGCACACTTGATGTTTGCCAAATGAGTGTTCCTTCACTACATCCAGCTGGACCTGTATCATTCCCTTTCTTTTCTCCTCTCTGCACCCATTTCTCCTCTGGTGTGGCCACAAATGGTTGAGCTACATTAGATGACTGACTAGCTTTCTCTCACACTCTTTATCGAATCAGCCTGTGACTGGATTTAAATTTCCAGACCTTCTCATCATCTCTGCTGCTTTCCCTCAGCATCTCCAGTGTGCATCATGTCTTCCTCTATAAGGCAGTGAATGGTGACCACACCACTTCTATCTTAGCCCTTTACAGCCACTGTTGGTTAACGCAGCAGTCAGACTAAACTTTGAAATACAGGTCGTATGATGTCACTATACAGCGCTGCTTTCTGTAGTTTCCCCACATAATCACAGGAAGCCCTAAGTGCATCAAAGCCCTGTGCTGTCTGATGCCCCCCACCCCTTCTCTGACCTCAGCCCTTTCCTCAACCACACTCCTTTCAGAATGACTTCCTTGTGTTTTCCATTGTGCTAGGCACACTCCTGCCGCATTTCCTCACCCCCCAAAATGTCTCTTGGTGTGTACAATTGCAGTCTCTTGGGAGAGCAGTCTGACAAAATTCTTTCACACCCCAGCCCCTACTGAGTCTAGAGTTGTGTATGTGGGCTTGAGCATGAGCTAGTGCTGGGACTAGAACCCAGGCCTTGGCTCATGCTGGCCAAGTGCTCTACCGCCCTCCTAGCCCATTCCCACCTCTAGAAGTCTGTTCTAACCCCTTCTTGTTCCTCCATCAATCTCCCTTTCTAGAGTCATCCTGTCTGCCTCTTCACTTCAAGCCCTTATGTCAGAGGACAGGTTGCCCAAGGCTATGCCCTAAGCAGTCTGTTAAAGTCATGGTCTCTCCAGTTTCCGTTTCCCATTGTTTCACCTCGTTCTAGCTCTATGCTCATTCATTGTTTATAATTTATCCAATTCTCTGACACCTGTGGAGGGATTCATTTGTGCATCCGTTAACAATAGTCAAACCTTCTGAGAAAGGTGCCATTGAGTAGTTCTGACCTGCTGACCTCATGGAGCACACTTATTCAAACCTAGATGGTACCGCAGACCTCGTACTTATGCTACATGGCGTAGGTGATTGCATTTTTTTTTCAGTTTTTTTTTTTTAAAGAGTAAAGTGCAAATTCATGTCTGTTTTAGCCAACAAGGGTCAGAATTTTCTTTTCTCTTTGTCCCTCCCTTCCTTCCTCCCTCCCTCCCTCCCTCCTTCCCTCCCTCCCTCCATTCCTCCCTCTCTCCCTCCATTCGTCCCTCCCTCCCTCTGTCCCTCCCTCCCTTCTTCCCTCCTTTCCTCCCTCCCTTCCTTCCTATTTAATCAGCACAATTCTTTTATTGATTCTTTGGGGATTTTACATTATGCATCTCAATCCCACTCATCTCCCAATCCTTCCATGTCTGCCCTCTACCCTTGTAGCCTTACCCCTAAAATAAAATAAAAAATAAAACCAAAACCAACCAACCAAACAAAATGGCAACAAAACAACACTTTGCTCCTCCACCTTTGCCTCCTGTCCATCACATAGTCATTAGTTGTAGTGGCCTTGGAGCTGCAGTGTGTCACACGCTATACTGGTCTGCCAAACAGCTTTACTTGCAAATGTTCCTTTCGATGAATTGTTGGCCTGGTTCAAGGCCTCTGGCACGCCATCAATACTGGACCTTCACTTATCTCCGAAATCCTGCTGTTGCCCACAGTCTTGGAGACATTGCAGACATAGTTCCACAGGCCCACTCGATTCGTGAACTCCAGGAGGTCATAGATGGGGTGGATGTTGGGGTGGGCCATCTCAAAATCCTGGATGTGGGCCTGGGTGGTAGCTAAGATGGTCAGTCTTCACTGTGACTGCCCCTCAGGCAAGGGTCTCCTGAGCCCAGGGCATCAGAGGCAGATCTCCTGAGTGCATGGTGAGGGGTGGGGCCAGCTCTCCACTTAGTTGCAGCGCAGCCTGCAGCAGGAAGGCAGGAAGAGGGGAGTTCTCCCAAGGCTAGAGAGGGTTGGGGCCAGGTCTCCTACACCCACACCAGTGGGCTCAGTTTTCCAGAACTGCGGGGCTGCTCTGCCCCTGAGGCAAAGGTCAGGATTTTCACCAACTGTCTTCCTTTTCTATTCTTATTTCACTGGAAGGTTTTCCAGGGCAATAATGTGCAGCTTCCCTTTCTTTGCTTACAGGACTTTCTTTTGGAATTCTCCTGAAGCATCTTCTAGAGGCTGTTTTACAGTTAAGTTTATCCTTAATTAATTAATTAATTAATTAATTAGGTTCCCTGGATTTGAGACCGGAGCCTTGTGCATGCTTACACAGTGCTATAAAGCTGAGCCACACCTGTTTTTAAAATGAGTACGAGTGTGCTCTAAGATGACAAAATGTGCAATATAGTCAACATACAACCAGCGATGGAGTAGTTTTTATCATTGCCAAGTCCTATGTGATCTGTATCACCATGTTTGGCTGGAAGCTCAGTGTCTGTTGACACAGGCGTCATCGCAAACCCACCAGTCATGTGGTAGACTGAGATGCTTCCATCCCAGTGACAGTGCACAGGAATTCTCTTCACCATCTTGTAGTCTTCTGGGACCACTGTGTGTGCAGGGTATTGCTGAGGCAACATGACTGTGCTGTGCATGGCAGTATTTTTGTTGTTCACTGGTAAAATCTAAAGATTTAGAACAGTTCCTGGCACCCAGAAGATGCTGAAGGAACAGATCGGCCAGCAAGTCTCCCCAGAGTGTTTCTGCTCCCTTCCTATTAGCCTCAGACAGTGTCCCAGCTCCCCTGCTGGTCCCTTGCTTTACTGTCATTCATTTTATGCTACCTGTGCTGTAAGCGACCCATCACATTGTCATTTTTTATTAATACTAATAAAATCTTATGCACTGTTACAATTTTGGATCCTCTTCATCCATTTGAGTGGATCCAGATTTCTGTGTGTGTGTGTGTGTGTGTGTGTGTGTGTGTGTGTGTGTGTGTGTTTTTTCTGCCTTATGAATTCCCTTAGTGCCTCCCAGAGGGAGGGGAGATGAGTTCCAGAGAGAAAGGTCGGATGTTCAGAGATGAGATGACGATGTGGAAAATAGAGTTGGCAGAATTAACAACAGGCTGGACATGACAGGTAGAAAGACTGGTGACACTGAATATATAGAAATAATCTAAAACACACCCCCAAGAAGAAAATGTAAATATGGAATGAACGAAGGGCGAGGGAATAAAAATATTTTTAAGAAATAATGACTGAAAATTTCCCAATTTGAATATAAATCTGTGTATTGGAGAAGCTCAACACACACACACACACACACACACACACACACACACAGAAAAAGAGAGAGAGAGAGAGAGAGAGAGAGCCACATAGAGGGTGTGCCTCTTGTGGTGAGGCTCTGAGGCAAAAGAACAACCAGATAGAGAGATCATAATCTGATTGGTGCTCACAACACCCAGTTGGAAATGGCTGGGGAAGTTGAGGCAGACAGCTAGAGTTCCTGACTGAGCTTTCTCTCCATGGCTAAGTTCCTCATGGCTGATCTTCCTGCTTCTCTTTCCACTAGGTGATGAACAACAGTAACGTAATGGTCCACTGTCTGCTGTTCTAAGGACACAATGGTTTCATTCTTGGGTTCTTTGGCCTTCTGTATCACAGAGTTGGACCAGCATGCCAGACAAAGGGCCTTGGAAGACACTTTGAGACAGATATGCTTGGGTCTGACTTCTTAGTGAGCTCAAACCGCACGTGACAATTTACCAATAGAAAGTACATTACCATGTCTCTGTTTTTGTCAATTCTGGGTCCATGTTGATTGGCGGAATTTTCTATTATTAGAGTGCACTTCTTTGCCTGTTGGTAATTTTCTTTTCCCTTCCTTCCTTCCTTCCTT